CTACAGCATGGTTTTCATTAACACTATTCCAGATAGACATGATGCTTTCAATCGTATACGCAACAAAGGACTAAAAATCTGCATCTTAAGTAGCCATATTTCCTGCATTAGACAAAATTGGTCCGCTTGTGCAACATATCTCTAATCTTGTTGCATCTGCATGTTTTGCAGTATGGTCATTATAGCAGACATGTCACCCGAACCAGCATGAACACCACCACCGTGAGAAAATCCCTGATCAGCGTCTTGCATAGTCACATCAACCTCCGGAGCATCATGAGGAACCTCAACATGCTTCTCATCATCCATTTGATTATCTTCAGCCTCTTCAGCAACAACATTTGGATCATCAAAATTACGCGAAGATGTTAAACTCGATGCTCAATATCCCAAAAGTAACTCATGTTTGAAAGAGTAAATTGTGAAAACTCTTGAGATGTGTCGGGTGACTTGTAAAGAATATTTGGCATGCCAATGTTGAAATGTTTCAAAATCTTTGTAATCGTAGAAAGATAACACAATGATGTACCTTTGTTGCACATCCCAACGAAGACCATGTGATACATGAAGTAATGTGGCCAACTTATCTCGACCTTGTGCAACAGGATATAAACGAGATGAATTTCAAGAGAATCAACTCTTGAAAAGCCTCCATTATTAAGATGCAGAATATGAGACACAATCCACAACAAAATCCTATGTAGCATCTTTAATTGTCCCATATAAATGGGATCGTAAAAGTCAGCCGGACAGGGATCATTATAATCGTGAGCTAGTTGTAGGAAGTAATCAATGGTTTGATGTTCAACTCTTTTCACAACCTCGGGTAGACCCAAACCTTCAATGGCATCCTTCTTCCACGTATATTGCCTAACAACGAGATGAGTCATATGTTTGAGTTTAAAAATCTTTCAATATTTCCTTATAACCAGATTAAATGGATTCTCAGAGGCAGTGATGGATGAAAATGCCTTACTTTTACCCTTAGACATATTTTTGATCTTGGAAGACATGAGGAAATCAAGTTTGAAGATGAACACCAAGTGTTTGTTGAAAGTCTTGAATAAAAAGTGTGAGAGAATGAGAGATCCAAAAGTACCCACACACTCTAAAACAAAGAATAACATCAAACCAACACAAAGAAACATTGACAAACAACAAACAAAATTCTCTAATAAAGCGTACGTGTCGACCTGTGCAAGTTATGGTCGACACGTACTAAATCGAACACTTAAGGAATTTTAAAAATTTTACCATGAGCTGACCTGAAACAACATGTGTCGGTATGTACCGGAATATTTTTGACAAATGCAAAATTTAATTTACATAGGTCTACCTGTGCCAGAATGTGTCGACATGAAACCTACAAGATTTCAAAAATTTGACTCCAATGGACTTTTAGAGACCAATGATGACTCAATTTGATCTTATAGAGATAATAATGACTCATGCACCCTAACTTGATGAGAAACACATGCATTTGATAGATTTGTATGGTTTGTTTTCTTGAATCATGCAATCATGTAAAATTCCTGCATGAGTTGGTTCAAGATATATATGACATATGAAAACAATTATGAGTAGCGACTATAAACATATAAAATGCAACATATAATAGTCCCAATGAAATTTTTGGAAGTAAACACACACCATAAATTTCACGCATATAGTTCATCACATATAAACAGGTAAAAAAATACTTACGTATTTAACAAGAAAAAGGATTGAAACGATATTATCTCACCATACACACGATGGAGGATGCACTTGCATTCCACAAAGAACTTTCAAACAAAAGTTAAAATAAATGCAACACATACAATAAAATAGAATCGAGACAAAAGCGCTCTTACCACTTTTCTTCTTGTACAAGTATCTGAAGGTATGATTAATAATGTATCCATATTTATGCAGACAAAGTGCATGTGCCACCGGATCCTCTTATGCAAGAAAATGTCATAAATTCCAGATTTTGGTCAAATTTTAAAATAAATTTTACCCGCTAAAATGACTTAAACTGTCTAAAAATATAATCGAAAAGTGATCCAAAAAATTAAATGAGCATGTCAGGTTAAACTATACGTAACATATCATTGACGTTTGCAGGCTCGATTATAAAAGTTTTCGTGTAGTGATTTTACACACAGTTGACTTTTAGTTTGACCGATTCGGCTGTAATTCCAACATATTTATTTCAGCTGATAAATTGAGTATTATGAAAAATGACAGAGATGATATGCTATGTAGGCGATGGGAAAAAAATCGTGGGATCTTAAAGTCAAAAATTAGGATATGACATATGGGAAGAGGTAAACTCATAACAATTGTCTGTATCACATCCTTGAAGACGATAACACTAGAGATAACATAAAATGTTCATGATGAATGTCCTAATAAAGGTCTTCTATCTGCATCAAATCTAAGTTTGAAGTATGTTATCCTCAAAAAAACACGTGTTGCTAATTGGGCGCCTACAAACCATGGTTCGGGTATGACATCATCTCTTGATAGATTAGTTTATCAAATACAAACAATAATTGGCTTTGATTTTGGTAAGTATGTCCTTAAAAAAAAATTCTAAAACAAGCTAAATCATTTATCGTAAAACAACCTATTGTCTGTTATCCCAGATTTATGGTATACTTGTTAAACAAAAACCAAATATTTTAACTATTGAATATACATAGTTCAAGTTCAGCTCATATAGTTAATGAAATTAGTTTTTTTTGCTCATATTCATCTCAATTAGTTCATGAACCTAGTTCAAAAATTTATTTGTCAAATCGAGTTTCGAACTATGTTCGAGTTCTCTCTCTCTCTCTATCTATCTATCTATCTATCTATCTATCTATCTATCTATCTCTCTCTCTCTCTCTCTCTCTCTCTCTCTCTCTCTCTCTCTCTCTCTCTCTCTCTCTCTCTCTCTCTCTATATATATATATATATATATATATATATATATATATATATATATATATATATATATATATATATATATATATATATATATATATATATATATATATATATATATATATATATATATATATATATATATATATATATATATATATATATATATATATATATATATATATATATATATATATATATATATATATATATATATATATATCAGGGCCGGCCTTTCACAGGCGCAACAGGCTCTATGGAACTGGGCCCCAAAATTTTGGGGGCCTATTTTTTTTTTTTTGAAATCTAATTAATATGAAAAAATTTAAAATATATATTATTTTTCCTCATTCCAAACGCAACCTATATTGTATAAAAAGATATTATTAGTTTAAACAATACTTTGAATTTTTAGTGTATTTTTTTATTATTAAATTATATATATATTTTAGATTTAGGCCTATTTATTAAATTAAAACAGGGCCTCCAGATTGATTGGGCCGGCCCTGATATATATATATATATATATATATATATATATATATATATATATATATATATATATATATATATATATATATATATATATATATATATATATATATATATATATATATATATATATATATATATATATATATATATATATATATATATATATATATATATATATATATATATATATATATATATATATATATATATATATATATATATATATATATATATATATATATATATATATATATATATATATATATTCATACCACCTTACTTTCTAACCAAACAAAATTAAAATATTCATACCACCTTACTTTCTAACCAAACAAAATTTTAGCCTGTGCGTACTAAGTTGAATCATATTGGTTTAAAAATATTAATTAAGTGTATTGATTTTAAAATAAAATAAATTTGTTCTCATTATTCAAGTTTAATGACTTTACTATAATTTTTTTTTATGAAATCTGATAATGGAATGGAATATTACTTACGTTATTTGTCCATATCCTCCATAATGGTTATAAATCAAGCTATGATAAAAAGCGAATAGCTACTGGCGTAATCTATAAATGAAGCTAATGGTGTAATCTATAAATGATGCTATGATAAAACGAATAGCTAATGTTGTAATCTATAAATGAAGCTACACTAAAGAATGGTAGCTGCAATCACTTCTACTTGGACTTGGACGGTTTGGTGGCACCTTCTAGTTTTATGTATATCTTCTATAATTTTGTATTATATTAATATATACATGACCTAAATTATTTGATCAAACACTTGTATATTTTTTCCTTGAGACGTTATCACTATAATTTTGTAAATATATTATAGTTATTAATATACTTTTAGTTCTTTTTTATATTAGTAGTTTAATGAATAATTAAAAATATTAATAAACTTATTTATAATTTTGATATATTCATAGTGATAACATTTTACATATTGAAAGATAATTTTGTTTATCTAATCCAACTAATTTGAAATCATTTAATCCCAATTCTCAATTATCTAAAATTTTAAATTCGATTTAATTAATCAATATCCTAGCAATTAACACATATTTAAATTTATGTGTATCAAAAAATTTACCTATTTTTTTATTAATTTGAAGTTATCTATATAAATTGGAAATCTTCAATGCGCAATTCTAGTGTACTGTAGAGTCGCTCCAGTAAACAAACCTATTATTGATAATTTAGCTAACATCTTAACAACTAATTAAATGTGCAAAAAATAGTAACGAGGAATAAAAAGAGTGAAGAAATAAAATTGAAAATATTGTACAATTGTGGAGAATATTGCTCCACGGAAGCCAGAACTAGATTGCTGTTGAAAACGTGAAACTGAACTAAAATAAAAATGAAAATATTGTACAACTGTGGAGAATATTATAGAGTATAGTACTTTGCGATGACCAAATACAATAAAACGATAAATGAGGGGGTAAGGGATGTGACATCTGCCAACCAAATTGGATTATAAATATTTGCTCAGAGTTACCAATCTCATTCCACACAATCTCTTCAACCTCCAATTCAATTGCAACATTATTCATTTTCATAAACAAAAAAAGAAGCTTCACCATGATGATACTCACCTTATACCAAACGTTCCTCTTGAAACAACTTTCCATCTCCATTTTCATTTTCTTCATAACTCATTTCATCTTAACCTTTCTCACAAAAAAACCTCACAAAAAACTCCCACCAGGCCCAAAGGGTTATCCAATTGTAGGTGCACTTCCACTAATGGGAGCCATGCCTCATCTCACACTCTTCAAAATGTCACAAAAATATGGACCTATAATGTACCTTAAAATGGGATCAAACAACATGGTTGTTGCCTCATCTCCTTCATCAGCCAAAGCCTTTCTCAAGACACTCGACCTAAATTTCTCAAACCGTCCGCCCAACGCGGGCGCAACACACCTTGCTTACGATTCACAAGACATGGTTTTTGCAGACTACGGATCCAGGTGGAAATTACTTAGGAAACTAAGTAACTTACACATGCTCGGCGGAAAAGCTCTCGAAGATTGGTCGAAAATTCGAGAGGATGAAATGGGACACATGATTCATACAATGTATGATTCTAGCAAAAGAAATGAATCAATTGTTGTGCCAGAGATGTTAACATATGCTATGGCTAATATGATAGGTCAAATTATATTAAGCCGTCGCGTGTTCGAAACAAAAGGGGATGAATCAAATGACTTTAAGGATATGGTTGTAGAACTCATGACAACTGCTGGTTACTTCAATATTGGTGATTTTATACCAATTCTTGCTTGGTTGGATCTTCAAGGAATTGAAAGAGGTATGAAGAGGTTACACAGAAAATTTGATGCTTTGTTGACAAAGATGATTGAGGAGCATGTTGATTCTAGTCATAAAAATCCTCGAGTTAAGCCTGATTTCTTAGATACTCTCATTGCTCAAAGTAAACAAGATGATGGAGGAGAGAAATTAACAATCACAAACATCAAGGCAGTACTTTTGGTATGTATAACTCCGATTTCTATATCTCATGGTGCGGGTAATGGTACGGGATATGCCAATTTTATAAAATAGAAGAGTTTTCTATAAAATACATCGAGAATTAAATTGTTAGACTTACAACAAATCATCAATATAAAAATTAAAAAATTAAAAATAATTGAAAAAACTATAAATTTTATTCAAAACTATAAATTTTATTCAAAACCAAATAATGATTAAAAAAAATAGTATCGCAAATATGATGCATGTATTTGATATGGGAGATACAGATATTTAGTCATTTTAAAAGTTCGCATGCTCCATATATAAAAAAAAGAAAAAGTGATATTAAATTTGTTAGTACTATGTCGGATATGTGTAATGGAGTATATTATAATTATAATAACATTTTAGTATTCTGTTTTGTATAGAATCTATTTACAGCAGGAACAGATACATCTTCAAGTATCATAGAATGGGCCCTATCAGAAATTATAAAGAATCCAAACATTATGAAAAGAGCTCATGAAGAAATGGACAGAGTCATAGGTAAACAGCGACGGTTACAAGAATCAGACATTCAGAATCTACCTTACTTGCAAGCAATATGCAAAGAGACATACAGAAAACACCCATCAACACCACTAAACCTACCAAGAGTTTCATCAGAAGCATGTGAAGTAAATGGCTATTACATCCCAAAAAACACAAGACTAAGTGTGAACATTTGGGCCATAGGAAGAGACCCTAATGTGTGGGAGAATCCTTTGGATTTTAATCCTGATAGGTTTTTGAGAGGTGAAAAAGCTAAAATAGATCCACGTGGAAATGATTTTGAGTTGATTCCGTTTGGTGCTGGGAGAAGAATTTGTGCTGGGACAAGGATGGGGATTGTGCTTGTGCAGTATATTTTGGGTACTTTGGTGCATTCATTTGATTGGAAGTTACCAAAGGGTGTTGTGGATTTGGACATGGATGAGTCGTTTGGACTTGCTTTGCAGAAAAAAGTTCCTCTTTCTGTTGTTGTTAGCCCAAGATTGTCTCCATCTGCTTATGTTGCTTAGCTTGGTCATTGGGATCACCACCTATGTCTTGTTCAGCGCTTGTTAGTTATTGTGTGTGTTTTAATAAGTAAAAACAATGCCTAAATAAGTTTTACTAATCTATGTAATTTAATGTTTCTTTTTATTTCCTATAAAATAGTTGTCTATTATTATCTCTAAAATATATTAACATTTAGTTTTGCTTTGAAATATCAAATATTTGGGAGGAGTGTTCACCAATCGGTTTGAGTTGTCTTTAGCTAAAACTATTACAAATTATATAAGGTAGATTAATTTGAATGAGGTGAAATAAACATTCATAATATAAGATTAATTTGGGTAATGCTGCATATTTGTGGATTGGGTTGAGTAGTAAGAAACTTGGATTTTTTATTTATAAAAATAAATGAGGGATTATACTTCTTTTTAAAAAAAATAGGCTTGAATCATTTTATTCTTAAAAGTAATTTAATATAGAGTTAAATATGTTTTTAATCCCTATCTAAAATCTAATTTTAATCTAATTTGAATCGTTATTATAAAATTTTCTGTCTTTATTTTTCGTCTTTATGATTTATTCAACTTAACAAAAATCTACGTGGATGATGATTTGACAAATCATTTTAAATAAGTGAAAAATTACTAATTTTCACGTCAGCTTCATCTTCAAGCTCTTTTTTACCGTAAATTTCCTTTTTCGTCTCTACCGTCTATTCATCACAACTCCGTAAAATGAGTCTCCATTTCAACAATCTCATCTCCTCAGTACCTTCCTCTCTTTCTCAATGTCTCTTCCTCCGTGCCATTTATCTTCACAACAACCCCCTCTCCGGTAACATCCCTCAGTCGCTTTTCAATCTCACCAACCCTCAGATTCTTAACTTTGTCGATAACTTTCTCTCCAACACCATCCAAATTGTTCTAACAATTCATTAGCTCAGTCTTAATTATTGTCCTTAGAACTGTTGAGATGCCCCGCGCCAGAATAGGTGTTGTTGGATCAGGTACTGCAAGCATTTTCAAGGAAGTTTTGCTGTCTTCAAACAAATCACGTGATGTTGCCTTTTCACCATCAAAAGGTATCCATGTTTAATGACTGATTTTTAATGGCTCCTACGTTGATATTATTAGAATATTATTAATAATTCATATTTATCTAGTTGTACTATTTTCTTGGCCCCTAAGTTTGTTAGAGGGTATTTTAGTATTTATCTTATTCTAGTAACCCTAGTTTTTTAGCTTATAAATAGGGTGACAATCATTGTAACAAATATCATGTTTTGTAGCCGTCATTCTCTTATTAGTAATATTTCCTATTTCATCATTTATTCTATCTTTGCACCAACAATTGGTATCTAGAGCTCCGGTTCAGATTCATTGGGAAACACGGGAAACACGAGTGAACGTGAGGTCTTGTGTGTTTGATTTTGTTTCTCAGATTCTTGTTGAATCTTGAACAAAATCTGATCAGAATTTTTTAATTCTGTGGGTTGGGAAACACTGTGTGAGAAAACTCTGAGTGTATTGTGCAAAGTAGAAGATGAACGGAAACGGCAACATGAACACCAAACTTCCAGTATTTGATGGTAAAAACTGGAATCGTTGGATGATCCAGATGCGTGTACTATTTGGTGCTCAAGATGTTCTGGATCTTGTCACTGATGGTTATGTTCCAGTAGCAGCAGATGCAACTGATGAACAGAAAAACGCGCAGAAGGAAGTAAGGAAGAAGGATCAGAAAGCATTGTTCTTCATTCATCAATGTGTGGATGTAAACGTGTTTGAGAAGATTGCAGACTCTACAACAGCAAAGGCTGCATGGGACACTCTGGTGAGATGTTATGGTGGTGACGCATCAGTGAAGAAGGTGAAGCTTCAGTCCTTGAGAAAGCAATATGAGAATCTCAACATGAAGAATAATGAGAAAGTTTCTGAATACATCTCCAGAGTGATTCTGATCACTAATGAGATGAAGGCATGTGGAGAAACTCTTTCTGAAGAAAAAATCATGGAGAAAGTATTGAGATCCCTTACTCCTCAATTTGATTACATTGTGGTAGCAATAGAACATTCCAAAGATCTGAGCACAATGAGAATTGAAGAGCTGCAGAGCAGTCTAGAAGCGCAAGAGTTGCGTCTGACTGAGAGAAACTCTGAAAAGGAAGTAGAACAGCAGGCTCTGAAAGCAACTTCTGATAGGAGGTATCAGAAGCAGTCAGAAGCCAGGAGAAGATCTGATGGTGGTCAGAAGTCAGAAAGCTCAACCTCTGATAGACAAAAGAATGCTCAGAGGGGAAAAGAGAAGTATGACAAGAAGAAGATCCAATGTTACTGTTGTAAGAAGTTTGGTCACTTTGCTAGAGATTGTTGGTCAAACAAGGAGAAGAAATCAGAAGAAGCAAATATAGCCAGAAGTTCTGATGACGAATCTGTGCTATTGATGGCCTCTGAATCTGATGATCTGACAGACTGGTGGTATATGGACACTGGTTGTTCAAATCATCTTACTGGAAACAAGAAATGGCTGGTTGACTTTGACTCTGAAAAGAGAACAAAGATCAGATGTGCTGATGATAAATATCTTAATGCAGAAGGTATGGGAAATGTCAGAGTGACTCTGAACAATGAAAAATAGCATTGATTCAGAATGTGTGGTATGTACCTGGCATCAGAAGCAATCTGATGAGTGTGGGACAATTAATTGAGAAAGGTTTTTCAGTTACCATGAAGGACAATCTTCTGAAGCTGTATGACTGCAATCAGAAGCTGATTATGGAGTCAGAACAGGGAAGGAATAGAACATTCAAGGTGAATGTCAGAACTGCAGACTCAGAGTGTCTTAGTGCAACAAGTACTGAGAAGGAGAGTGAGCTGTGGCACAGAAGATTTGGTCATTTGAACTTCAGAAGCTTACAACATCTGAATTCAAAGAAATTGGTACATGGAATTCCTGCAATTAAGAAGCCTGAAAAGTCATGCAGAGTTTGCATGGAAGGAAAACAACCAAGATTGCCATTTGCATCAGAAGTTGCTCCAAGAGCAAAACATGCCTTGGGAGTTGTACATTCTGATGTGTGTGGTCCATTTCCAGTAGCATCAATTGGAGGGAATAAATACTTTGTGTTGTTTGTTGATGAATTCACAAGAATGACATGGGTATCCCTTATTAAGTTCAAACACGAGGTGTTTGATGAATTCAAGAAGTTCAGAATGAAGGCTGAGAATCAGAGTGGTCAGAAGTTGAAGATTCTTAGAACTGATGGTGGAGGTGAGTATAACTCCAAAGAGTTCCAGAAGTTCTGTGAGGAGAATGGAATTGAGCATGAGGTTACTGCTCCCTATACCCCTCAACACAATGGTCTTGCTGAAAGAAGAAACCGTACTTTGCTTGATATGGTGAGAAGCATGCTAAAGGAGAAGAAGCTTCCTCAGAAGCTCTGGGGAGAAGCTGTTGCCACTGCAACGTATGTACTCAACAAATGTCCTACGAAGAAGTTGAAGGAAATAGTTCCTATGCAGAAGTGGACTGGAGACAAGCAAAGTGTTAGTCATCTGAAGGTATTTGGTTCTGTTTGCTATAAACATGTTCCAGAAGCCAGAAGACAGAAGCTGGATGATAGAAGCAAAGTGATGATTCTGATAGGGTACCACAGTACAGGTGCATACAAGCTCTATTGTCCAGAAACCAATAAAATTGAATTCAGCAGAGATGTGATTGTGAAGGAATCAGAAGTTTGGAATTGGGATAAGTCTCAATCTGATTCTGATGTTAGAACCTCTGAAGAAAGGCCAGAGTTAAGAATTTCTGAAGTTGAAGTAAACTCTGACGTCGATTTTGACTCTGATAGTGATTCTGACTCTGGAGAAGACTCAGAAGATGAAGGTGACTCTGATGATCCAGACTCTGATGGTAATCCAGATTCTGGTGGAAATTCAGACTCTGAAGATGGCCAAGGCTCTGGAGGAAGTCAAGCCTCTAAAGCTAGAAATTCTGAAGTTCAAGACTCTGGAAATATGCCAGATCCTGAAGTTGGTCAAAGCTCTGGAGAAAGTCAATCATCTGAAGCTCAAGACTCTGAACAAGTTCAGAGACCACAAAGAATCAGAAGCGTTCCCAGAAGATTTGCAGAATTTGACATGCTGCAAGACACTGAAGTAGACTCTGAAGGAGAAGTTATTCAGTGTGCCATGTTAGTAGACTCTGAACCTATAAGTACAGAGGAGGCTCTTAAGCAGAAGCTCTGGCTGAAGGCCATGAAAGAAGAACTTGATGCTATAGAGAGAAACAAGACTTGGAAGCTGACAGAACTTCCAAAAGACAAGAAAGCCATCAGCGTCAGATGGGTTTTCAAGCAGAAGTTAAAGCCAGATGGTTCAATTGGCAAACATAAAGCAAGGTTGGTAGCCAGAGGATTTCTACAGAAACCTGGGCTGGATTATTCTGAAGTGTTTGCACCTGTAGCAAGACATGAAACAATCAGAATGGTGATTGCAATAGCTGCTAACAGGAATTGGCCTCTGATGCATTTAGATGTAAAATCTGCATTTCTGAACGGTCCATTAGAAGAAGAAGTTTACGTGTCACAACCTCCTGGATTTGTGGAAAAGAATCAGGAAGGGATGGTGTAGAGATTATACAAAGCTCTATATGGATTGAAACAAGCGCCCAGAGCTTGGAATCAGAAGATTGATTCATTTTTCAAGAAGCAAGGCTTTCAGAAATGTGAGATGGAGTACGGTGTCTATGTTCAGCATACTTCTGAAGGCAATATGACTCTGGTATGTTTATATGTTGATGATATACTATTGACTGGAAGTTCTGAACAGGAGATAGCCAAGTTCAAGAAGGTTCTAATGAATGAATTTGAAATGACTGATCTAGGCAAAATGACATACTTTCTAGGGATGGAGTTCAGATATTCTGAGAAAGGTATCATTTTGCATCAGCTCAAGTATGAATTAGAACTTCTGAAGAGATTTGATCTGAAGAATTGTAAGATGGCTGTCACACCTTCTGATAC